TGGGGGGGATGTTTATGTTTGAAAACGATCAGATATTAAAAATAATGGTTCTGAGAGAATATTGGTAATAACATTAAGTAGAAAAAATGGTTACAGTAGTAGATTTTTTCACTCAATCTCATTTGTTAAAAATATGTAATTATAATTCTGTTTTTATTTATACTCATAGAAACAAAAAGGAGAGTATGTACTAATATTTAATAGTGGCAATCTCTGTGATGTGTGATTAAATGTGGTTTTGTTTTTCTTATTATGCTCCTTTCTGTTTTTCTCAGTTTCCTATGATAGATATGCTTTCCTTTTGTTGAGATAACATATTAAGCACCTTTTGAGTTTAGAACTTCTCTACTAATGTAATAAAGGCTCATAACTACTAGTTAGGTAATGTAACTCTTAGTTAATCTAGAACATGGTTACCGACAAAAACCTTTATAGGGAACAACATGAAGCTCAATTAGAGAGTAAATCTATTTTTTATAAATTTCATTTTTAGAGTCCAAACCCACTGTTAGACCTGCTGATTCTGACAGAGTCACAGGCACAAGAAGAAACAGATGACATCCGGACTGCTGTCAGGCAACAACTACAAAAAGAACTAATTGCTCTTTTCAATACCTTGTTGCTCAATTTCATGGAAGTAACTGACAGGTACCATTTGTGTCATTAAAGGTTTGGGTACATTTACATAGAATGTAGGGTTTTTTTTTTGATTTTCTAGGAGTTTTACTTTTTACTTTCAAATTAAGAGGCAGAAATACTTAAGTAATAATCAGTGATGGTGGTCTGTTTGTTTTTGTTTCAGTTGAATCTCTGGGATAGCCTGATTGTAACTTCTTAGTCTCCTTTACTATACACACAGACACACATCCACACATGTGCACACACACAGTATTTTGTTCTTTACAGCTTAATTCTTTGTCCTCTCTTAATTCTCTACACATCTACCTGAGCAATCATACTAATTCCTAGAACTGTTTTTACACTGATGATTTTCAAATACATATCTCTAGTTGCAAATTCTGTTTTTAAAAAACTAAAAAGTTTAGATAAAATCACTATTTTAACCATTTTAAAGTGGGCGTTTAATTGGCTTTTAGTATATTCACAATGTTGTTCAACTGTCACCACTATCAAATTCTGGAACATTACCATCACCCCAAAAAGATGCCTTGTATCCATGAAGAAGTCCCATCCCATTTACCCTTTCTTGTAGTCCCTGGCAACCATTAATCTGCTGTCTCTGTGGATTTGCCTACTCTGAATATTTCATAAAAATGGAATCAAACAATGTGTTACTTTTTGTGTCTAGATTATCATTTAGCATCATGTTTTCAAAGTCTGTCCATGTTGGGCAAATATCAGTACTTCTTTCTGTGACTGAATAATATTTTATGTAAAGTTATACCACATTTTGTTTATCCATTCATCCATTGGTGGATAGTTGAATTGTTTTCATGTTTTGGCTATTGTGAATAGTGCTGCTGTAAAC